AACCACGACACTACTCAAAAAGGGATTCTTCAGTGGCTGTACCTGGAAGACACCCTGGGCGTCAGCAGCTACAGCTGCGTGCAGGGGAGTCCGTCCCATGTTGTCCCGTGCATTGGCATCGGCGCCAGCATCCAGCAAACGTTTCGCAGCATCTGCTCTTGAGTAACGGGCTGCTAAGTGCAGTGCCATCTCCCCGGTGCGGTCTGTTTGGGCCTGCAGGTTGGCACCTTGATATATCAAATCTGTTATTATATTTGCTGAAGAATCTTCTGCATCTTCATCATCCTCGCTGATATCGGAGCTGCCCACACGCAGAGATGCCAACATAAGTGGAGTACATCCATCTGCAAGAGAATAAATAACACTGTAGTAATCTGATGGTGACAGCCAAGGTAAGGAAATCCTCTGACAATCCTCTCTCCTTGAGGTACAGACAATCCCTCCAGTCACTTTCACCCAGACACGTTCACTTAATAAGGCCAACAAAGTTAGCAAGTTGTTTTCACTCCAAGCAGAACTTTAACACCTACCGGAACCCCAACAGAACTTAGATACTTCTCAAATAAATAAGATCATTACAAACCAAAGTTTGCTGCTGATGTGGAAAAATTCCTCAAATTGTAAAGGCTCGCTAAATTCCTAGAGTGAAGCAATGGCTATAAAAATCAAAGACTCCATGTGAGTAAGCATAGCTATCAACGTGGATGTAAAAATCACATACCTGGTGAAAAGGAACAACAAAAAAATATTGGACAACTAGCCACTGATTACTGGTGGCATTCTGTAGATATTAACCTGAGGTGAAAAGCAGACAAAAGCCTTCCTATCTGTTACACACCAGAGTCTTAATTAAAAGGACCCTGAAGTTGTGACAGTCAAGGACTCAAAGCTGAAAAATGTCCCAGGTCGAGTGCCTGAACCAACCTCATCCAGCTTTTAACAATGTCCGTGGGCAGCCATGAGGCACATTCTGTACTTTCACAGAAGCACAGCATGTCGGACAGGGCCATGGGATAGGATCTAATTCAGTATTATTCAACTCCACCACGGCATGGGCTGCCCACAGACATAAACTGCTTCAGCCTCACCCAGTTTAAGTGTTTTGGGAGATACTGGGCTGGTGTCTCTCCACAAGTCTCCAGTGTTGGACTCACACTGATGGGACACTCACAAAGGCTAAATTCACTTCCATCCAGTCAAGATCCTTGCATTGTCACTGGAAGGAGAAAGGTTCCTCCAAACCTCTGAATTAACTTAATGTCCTTGAATGAACCCCCCTCTCCCTCCGCTGATCAGAGATCGTGGTCCAGGAAGACTAGTTCATGCTGCTGATTTTTCACCCTTGTTAGTACATCCCTTGACACAGTGTCACTACGATTTAAAAAATCTCCACGTATTTTCAGCAACCCATCAAATGCTAAGTGCTCCAGTTTCAGCAGACTCCAAACATTACAAGATATGCACCACCTAAATACAAAGACTTCAACTGTAGACGTTAACCCTTTTTTACTGACTTTACTGCTGTAAAACGTTACAGGCAGCTAGGAGGTAAGAGGGACTAAGACAACAGCAGGAGTGAACCACCCTGTGCCAAGCACCCCACTGGTGCTCTACAAAGGTGAACACATCTTGCTTCTGCAGCGTGGCTCGCCAGCAAAAATTCAAGGCAATCTTTCACCAACCGCCTGATTTATTCCACAGACAAGCAGGGCACTCTCTGTTTTCGGGCAGTTCCAAAACTTCCCAGGGGTCTATCGTTTTTCCACGCAGAACAGTGTCGAGCAGGGGCAGAGAGGAAGGCTGGGTCTGCTCCCCAGCCAGGCTGGTGGCAGCAGCAGGAGGAGCAGGGTGCATGCTCCTCCTAGTGGCTCACCACCACCGGACGCACAGGCTTTCGCCCAGCTCCTTTCTCAGGCTTTGTTGGACGGCGAAAGAGAAGCTGATGTACCGTCCTGGGTCCACTTCCAAGATCCAGTCTTGTCTACAGGCCCTCCTGCCTGTCGTCCAAAGCTCTACCTCCTTTTGTGCTTCTCCCTCCGACTGCTGGCTCTGCTTCCTCGTCCCAGATGAATACTTCTCAGTATTCAAGTCAGGCTGCGGTCCCCTCCATACTGCCTTGACAAAAGAGCAGAGACGGAGCACAGAAAAGAGCTTTCCTTTTCTCCAGCACCACAGCCCTGGGAAAAAAGTCTTGCTTGCTCAACCACTGCAGTTGTCCTGGATGGATCATGCCTAGTTGCTCTATAGGGACACGGCATTAAATCCTTGCAAAAATTAGCCGCCACTTTCCAAAAGATCTCTCAGGTATGTGCAGCTCTTTTCAGAGCTTTTTAAGTTGGCCACACACGAGTAGTTTTATGAGGCTAGCAAAAAGCACATCCAGCTAGACCATTACAATTAAGTGCTTGATGGACTACGAGAAAAAAAAGCCGTGGACACAATGTCTTTTTTCCTCTTTCCAGCTTGTTCTCTGAAATAGCTGGAAAAGAACCCGAGAGGATCCAGCTGGAGGCAGACACACAGCATGGAAAATTACAGTCTGAACCACTGAAGTTTTAGCAACTGAAAAAGAGGGGCATATAATAGGGACAGTTAATCAGTTTTAATTATAGGTGGTGTTACCAGTTATGTCTATAATTGCATTACCCTGGTTACACACTCACAATAACTCCAGTGAAAAGAATGTCCTCACCGCTCTGGGGGACACAGAGAAAGAACGGCATGGGGTGACAAAAGTGATGGCAGCATTTTATAAAAACTCTTCTGTTTGCTGTCTTTCAAGAAGACAACCCCTGCGTAAATGTAAAAAAAAAAAAAAGAAAAAGGCGAGATGGTAAAGCCAGAACTTCATCAGAGAGAAACAACCACAGGACTCATACAGACACAATACGCTGAAGGCTGGGATGCAGAGAACCCAACTCAGAGGCAGAGTCTCTGTGCAATACTTCTGTAGGAGACTAAACTTGAGAGACCAAAGAAGGTGCTGGGTTAAGAGAGGGAACAATCCCATGGGTACACCGAGGTGTTTTGACTTTCCTCTCCTCTCTCCTGCCACCTGGACCTGTGGCCAGGATCTACCTCACAGAGCTTCAGATGGCTCCAGTGCAGACACCTGCACCCAAGTCAGCCAGCCTCAACACCCTCTGCCATGAGGGGCAGCCAAGCATTACTGGAGCGTGAGCCATCTAGTTTTCAGGAGACTTTTGCCTGAGAGAGAGATGAACTGCCTCTCAGAAGTTCCTATTTCTTCCCTCTGCCTGCAAAGGAAGAGGAAGGTGGCCAGGGTAGATGAATGAACTGTGAGGAATCTTACTCCTCTTTAATAAACCAAGATTCCAACACTTCTCAGACTATTTAAGCAAGTTCTTCCCCTGACGGTACCTCAGCTGCTTGCTTTTGCCGCTGCAAGCTTCGCAGTTACATCTGAATGGCAGGAAAGCAACTCACAGGTCAGTATTATTCCATTGCTATTGTTGGGCAAAGCTTTGAGCGAACGTGAAAATAAGCAGTGTGAAGTCTTAAGAATGTTATTGCCTGCACTTGGAAAGCTTTTACCCCGCCACACAACTAGAAGCTTCAATAGGGGAAATAAAGAAAAGCTTAAATTTGGCAGAAACTCATGGTTTATGTTCTCACACTCGTTACACAGAAATCCCTCCTTCCCTGTGCTTTGCATTTAGGAGAGCTAATGGGTCAATGAGCAGAAAAGACAATAGAAGGGAACTGAGAGAATGGGTCCAGTCATCATTAAATTGCACGGAAATATTCCCACAAAATGCAATAAAAAAGCAACCGCAGCAACATCATCAGAATCACCTCTGCACATACGAACAAAAGCCATGCCTGGCAGCTTTTCTGACCAGGATAAAGTCCTTGGTCAACTCTCTCCTCTCCTACTGCAGGAATCAGTTACTACCAGACAACTCACCCAGTCCATTACCAGGTTACATAGCCTTAGTGCTACACCTAGAAAAAGCAGCAGAGCATTCTTACTGCATTCAGTCATTTGAGACAGAAAGAGAACACACCTGTGTGCACATGTGCATATAAAAAGTTTCCTTCAAGGTTCACAGTTGTGTTACGGTTGTCAACTCACTGAATTCATAAGTTGAGGATACAAATCAGTGCATTAAAAAAAAAGAATTTTTTTAAAAAAATCATTAACCAGCTTGCTGCATTGCCTCTCTGTTCTCGCACAGATGTCTCTCACACTGCTGATCAGGGTATACTGTCTGCCAGAAGTCATCTTATTCAGGAAAAAGCCATCCTCGCTCCCATCCCAGATAAAAGATACCTCAGGCACAAACTGTGCTACGTTGCTCCTTAGCCAAATCTGCCATGAATCTCTACAGAGATCCAACTGGAGAAGCTGTGGGTTACTTCTACCACAACTAGGCATTCAAAACTTTTGCCACAACAGCATTCTCACAGTAACTTTCAGGCATGCACTGTTACAAAGGAGATCCTACAGCTGTAGAGTTCATAGTGGTGCTTGCTAAGTGAACTCTTTTTGTCCTGGTTACATGATATTCCATGTGCTACAGGCCAGGACCCAATCTCTCCAGCCTTTTTTGCTGGAATGTACATGAGCTTTGCTTAAGGACCACAAAAGTTCTGCTGGTGTTCTTGCGTACTCCACATATTTTTAAACACGAGCAGTCCCGGCCATCGGAGACGGGGAGGCCAGTGGCTGGCTGGCAGGACACATGGACACTCAGGGTACCAACCTGGCCCTCTGACATTGACATCCAGAACATCCACTTCTTGATCTGCCTGAGGTGGTGTAAGGGCAAGTGATGTGCTCCCGCAGACGTCGGCTGCCTCCAAGTGCTGCTGTGTCCACTGGCGCTGATCGATCTGCTCATCGCCTTCCGCGAGCAAGGCTTGATCCTCAGCCTGAGCACAGGAAATAAGCAGTTGCTTCAAAATACTCATCAAGTGACCAAAGACATTAAAAGTTCTCGGGGGCTTCTTTAGTTTTGTTGGGTTCTTTTGGTTTGGGTTCTTGGGGTTTTTTTGTTTTGTTTTAAGCTAATGATGATCTCCATTTAGCTTTATTCTCAGCTTTGACGCTCCCACCACATATTAACAGGCCTGAGCTGCAATTTATTACACTACCCTTAACCTTCTCTTCCCTTTGACGAAGCAGGGCTTTGGTAGGGAGGGAACACTGGAACAGAAGTTTCCTGCTTTCTCTACTTGCCTATGGTGGCAGTGCTAACCTGAGGATTTGCTCCTCGGATATTGTTACTTATTTATCCCTAAGCTAAGAAAGGTTTTGAGCAAGAGGCATGCTCTGAAAGTTAATGCAGTTGTTCTCCTCACCAGCAGTTTTCAGTTTCAGGCAATATTCAAGTCTTGGATCTCCTTACCTTCGCTCTCTTTGGCTGAGGTCCACCATCACCTGCCCAGTGTTCAGTTGGTCCAGAATCTGCCAGGTTACCCTCTGGTATCTGGACTGAGAGATTTCTAACAGACAAGGAGAACATATGACTTTGCAGGCTGATCAAGTGCTATTACTGCTACTACCCTAGCCTGCAGAGACCAAGGATGGGATGCTTGCAAGGTCGTAGCTTGCAAACATAGGGATCAAGAAATTAGAAATCTCAGACAGCCAAGAGTGGCATTAAATGCATTTAGAACCACAAAACTGGTTAATTCAGTGGAAAGTCAAAACTGCATAAGAGGGATTCTTTCGAAACTTTCCGTTATTTCTGAGTCATGTCTTGAACACATTGAGCTAGATGTATTAAGTTTGTTGTCCCCTATCAACCTAAAAATGTCTCACCCACTCCACGAGGAAATTGTGCAAGCAGAACCCAACTGGTGAACTAAACAGTGTCAGAAATACCAACATAACCAGGAGATCAGATTCCTTACTAGCACCTTATACAGTTAATTAAAGTTCTTCTGTCCAAAACAAATGTATTTAAATTTTCAGAAATAGCTTAAGAAGTTCTAGCTTAAAAGGCAGCTTTCGCCATGAAGTGCCTTTAACAAAAGATTGATATGCCATGTTCTCAAAATCCTCTAATGCGCTAATAAACACGTTGTCAGTGTCCTAAATGCAAACTTACTTGAGTCCAACAGCATCTTCCCCAACTGGCTCTCTGCGCTTATGATTACTGGGATCCCTGCGCAGAATAAAGCCCTCTGGGAGCCACAGTGAACCATGTTTGCGCTTGCGCTTTGCCATCATCACACCCAAGAGAAGAATTAAGAGGATGATCAAAGCCGCCACAGCAAGTAGGTAAAGCAACTGGGTCTTTGGTGGTAACAAAGGTTCACCTGAAAATTCCAGTTAAAATACAATGAGGTTAACAAAGTAGAGCAAAAATTTTCCATCTACATACTTTCTTTTCTCATTCAGAGTCTTCTCTAAAGGAGTGTATTGTGTCTATCCTATGGTGCATTTAGAGCAAAGGTTTGGGGAAGTTTAGGGCTCTGCTGCAATGTTATAAGCATATATCCTATCTTTCTGGCTTCCCTTGATCTCGTTCCTCAAAATATTTTTTAGGGTATATGATTGCTGAACTGAAGATCTTACTCCTTTCCTCAAGAGTCCTGCTGGCTGAAGACAGTCACCCCGAATCAATGCAGAGAGCTGATCTACATAAAGGCATGAGCATGACCCAACTAGGAATAGTGTTATTGCCAATCTAGTATGAGGTTGCAGCTGAGACTCACACTTAGGGAGAGGGGAGCAGAAGTCAAAGCGTTTACATATAGCCAGGGGAGTCTGGTAGACTGAGGAACACACTCCACCCTTTCACTCTAACGACACCTTTTCACTGAATTCATGGCTTAGAGCACATGACTGGTTTTTAGTGCAGACAAGATCACTGCAGTGCGTGGCATGCTGATACAGCAGATGAGAGATTATTGTTTCTACAGGTATTAAACTGACTAGACTCTGAACTTAAATGCCCTACCTTACTAACCACATGTCCCCTCAGAGTGGAATATGCATATTGCACACACACACTTCTGTAAGTGAGGACAAACAAGTTATCTTCCAGTAACCATGCTGAACAGTGAGACATATTAAGATGATGATCAATAACCTGAGCATGAATTTCGCAAGCCAAAGTTTGATGACTGCCTTTGTCCACGTGTAATTTTCCCTCTACAACTACTTACTTTGGACGGACACGAACGGATAGGGCAACATGCCCTTGATGGCCTGAGCAGCTAAGAGAGCCGCAGCAGCTTCTGTATTCTGAAAGCATTGCTCCGAATCCTCTGCACACTGACGGTTGTCAATCTCCAGGAACACCCTGGTGCTGCAGAGACACAGTAAGAGGGCGCAGAAGTCAGTCATAGAAGCTTTTGCCAAAGCACTAGGTTAAACTGCAGCCTTTTAAGTTAATTGTGACACCCCAGCACTGAATTTGACAGTTGCAATAGCTTACGTTTCCCCGTGAAAACCAGACTACTGCCCTAGAAGGTCCAAAACACCTCCAAGCAAGGGCTAGCAGCATAACCAGGCCAGGGGAACACAAAGATATCCACTCACCCAATAACCTCTTGTTCTAGTTCTCTGTGCTTGCGAATGACAAGCGATCGCCGACTCCGTGCTGCTGATTTCTCCCCGTAGTACGGGAATACCATGGGGTTCCCCTGGGAGTCCAGCTTGATTCTCAGATTGGTGTGCAGGAGAGTTCCCAAAGTGCGCAAGAAGCTGCGAACATCACGCAGCAGCTCGTTAGGGGGCATCAAGACCACAATGATTAGGGTCCCTTCTGCCAGCTTCTCAGCTTTGTCACCAGCACAGTCCAGACCGTCCCAGCCACACTCCTCGCTATTACAGCCCTGGTCACAGCGGCCATCTGCGTAGTGATCCGCACAATACTTGTCATACCTAGAACAGCGAAAGGGTTACAGGCAGCACAGAGGACACACGCATTCTGTACAGTATTATCCGCAGTCTACGGGCCAAGGCCTTACACTCTTCATAATTACTTGAGGTAAAATAACACTCATATTCAGAAAGTAAGCAGAAGAGATATAACCCCAGGGCAAGCTTGCAACCTGGCAGGGTAGAAGTTGGAAGTGCAGAACACCCCAAGAATACGTGGCTCAATTCTAGTACCAGTGGAAGAGAGCTGCTTATTTTGTTTAGTGAGATAAGGCTATAACACCTCCTGCCTCACCAAGGGAGAATCATTACTGCAAAGACGTATCACAAATAACTGAAGAGAAAGAAGTGCAGGTCATCAGACAAGCTGGAAAATGCATTCAGAGGTAGCAAATACAGTTGGGATAAAAATACATGTATTGCTGGTATGGAGTGAAATTCAGGACAGGAGGAGGTATACAAGGTGAAACACCTCCTAGTTAAATCTCCACAGAAAGCAGGGCATGTGCATCACACAGGTTAATCCATTACCACTGCTCAGGCTATCAACTCAGTTCAGAGCATACAAATTCCATAACTTCTTTGCACGAAAAGTACACAAAGCAGCAGAAACTACTTGATGCTAAACTTTCAGCAAGAGCAACGACCAACAACAGAAGAGGTCAGAGCAGCAGACGTGAAGCGTACCAACTACCGAAAGGGCTAGCAGGAGATACATTAGTGACACAGAAAAACTGCTCTCGGGATCTAGACTTACTTGCATGTTTTGCTACTCTGCTGACATTCGAAGTTGTCAAACAGGCACTCCGGTGTGTTGCAGAACTCGTCACACTGTCCATTGAAAAGCATCCAGCAGCGCAACGAAGACGAGCAGTTGGCCCAAGGATCTTCCATTGTCAGGGAGCAGTCGCCTCCATCCCACTGGCAGGCGTGAGTGTTACAGTCTTCATCACAATAGCCATCTCTCGCTTTTTCCCCACACTGGGAATCCAAACATCCTCGGGGCTCCGGGCTGAAGGTTATGGGCTGTTCACACTGGCTGCCTTGGGTGTGAGCAGGGCACTGACAATAATAGTAAGGAGGCTGAGCGTGAGGGTGGCAGCTTCCACCATTCTGGCAGGGGGCACTGGCACAACCAGTGTTTGTCTGGCATTCCTCTCCCGCAGACAGCTTGGGGCAATAGCACCGAGGACCAGAAGATGTCTGGATGCACTGCTCCCCCTTCTTGCATTTCACTTGCCCACAAGTACTGTGGCTGCTGAACTCACATTTCGCTCCAGAATAACCCTATGTGGGGCAAAAAGAAATAAAAAGAAAAAAAGAAAAGAAAAACAATTAAGTTCACAAACTTATTCTTCAGTGCTTCAAGGCTGGAGGCAAGGTGTCACATGCAAACCCTTTCTCCCCTGTAATTCCTCTGGCCTCATTGTAGGAGCCATGATATTCTGGATCTAGCCTGAAGGATAAACTAGGAACTTACAAAGCTCTGTTACATTTTGAAATGGGACTTAGAGGAGTCATGAACAATAGGAAGCTTACAGTCAGCGCAGAGAACACGGGACAGCAAAGAAATTGCTGAAATTTAAAATTAGGCTTAAGACGGAAGAGTCAGCTATCCTGCCTCAACAGCAGAATTGTCTGGGGTAACAACAGGCAGCATCACTCTCCTAGGGCACCTCGCAGCCCAGGGCTTCCCAGCTAAGTAGATAAACTAAAGGATGTGGGTAAAGAGCAACCAAGGACACAGCTTTGCAAGTAGTACAGAAAATACAATCTTCACCTACAGTGCACTCGTGAAACTAATAATACTGTAGACAGAGAACTCTATACAGCTGAGGCTGGAAATCCAGTTTCAGAGTAGGGTGCTTACCGGAGGACACTGGCAGATGAACCCATCTGGCATATTGCTGGCAACAGCACAGCTCCCTCCGTTCTGACAAGGCTTCCGGGGACACACATCTATCACGCTCTCACAGTGACGACCTGAGATGCAGACACAAGGGGAGAAGAGAGCAGAGAAATGTGTGTGTGTGCGTATCAAAAGCTGTCGTAAAGCAAAACACTCCCATTAACTGCCATTGAGCCCAACGCTCCTGTGAGATCTTCCCCTTGAAACAGGTAGGGAACATCTCTCCAGATAACACACGCTGCCTACGCAGCTGCTTAAGTAGTGATAGCGCAAGGCACAACCCCCGAATCCACAAGGTGTATTTAGAGACAGCCCACCTTGTCTGCCTCCTCAGGAACCCAGCACGCAACCCAGCATGATGACAGAATTTGCTGTTTTTGCCCCCCCCAGCCAGTCAGGCACAGAGGCTGAAGGTGCTGTACGATATCAATTTGGGGGTTCCTAAGAACTTCTTTACTTTTGGGGAGATGCTCAATAAATCCAAAGGCAAATCACACTCTAACTTTGAATGATCGACCCTCAGGACCAAACGTAACGTAAGTGAACTGGACAAGCAAGCAGACTCTCCTCAGACAGATCAGCCAGACAGATGTCTTAATGCACTGACTAGCATTTGCAGCAGCTCCCGGAGTGAAACTCTGACACCAGGCTTTAAGAAGTTGAGGATGACCTAAGCATGACTTGGACCCCCTAGGAAAACATAAATAGAAGTCTCCACACATGTGCAGCCAAGACTGGCTGCTCGCAGACAGGAGCAGACAGGGCACGACGGCCCACGGAGTTCTGGCATCCTCTCAGTCACAAACCGCCACAAAGCCACTCCGTACCCTCCCAGGCAGAAAGGGTCGATGTGGAACGCGCAGAGGACGAACAGCTAGAGGAAGAAGCACGCTCCCCCTCTGTGCCAGACGGATTTCATGTCTGAGACACAGCCATTCTCTCCCTGCTCCTCTGAGGGTGCAGGATGTCTGCACTCCCCACACTGCAAGTTAGAGCAACCTTTCCATGAGAGCCAAAAGCAACAGAAAGTGTAATTCATAAAAGCAAACTTAACAGATGGGCTTAAACATAAACCTATTTGAGGACCTGCACTGGTGTCCCACTAGCTAGTCTGGCTCCGCGTCCCTCATATGTCGCTCTTTTAGGAGCTTGTTTTGTCAGTCTAGGTAACACATTTAAAACTATTGCATGAATTCCATAATGTATGTCTTTGATTTCTTTGAATCTGACAACCTCAAATTTAGGGGAAAAAAAATCACAGCATCTTTAAATTTTAAGGAAAAAAAAAAAGAGTAAAAACTACTGGTAGAGCATACAGAGAACTTCTCTGGTAGAGAAAGTGAAAGGTTTTAATGGGTGGAAACTGAACATATAAGAAGTTAAACTGACACGGAAACTGGAAAGCTGAAAGTTAAGGCACATCTGGAGACTGTTAGCCCAAACTTATGCCCAGTGGGAGGCAGAAAGCAGAATAGCAGCAATACTAACAAAGAAGAAATCTAGAGAGAGTGAGACACAAGTTTGCACAGTGTGAAATTTTTGCAAACTTCAGAGTTGGATTGTGGAAGGATCACGTCACTAAGCTAGGAATGTACAGTCTGTCTGTAGAGTATTCCATCCTGACCACGTCACCAAAGTAAGGAAGAAAGAGAGTGAGGAGTAGAAAAGGAGTCCACAGCTAATTATGGATACCATGACACTGATTTATAGAGAAAATTTATATGCCGCTTTGCAAAAGGAAAAACCACGGAGAAGCTGACATGCGAACAGTTACACTTCCAATACTAGACATGTGAAATTACGAAGGAGAGAAGTACCACAGAAAATAAATCCTGGCAGCCAAGTGTCTCAGGAGATTCCTTTGTCTCAGACAGTTCTGGAAGCCAAATTTCTTCGAAGGTTTAAAAGAAAGATTGGTTTAAAAGCTGAGACATGGCGTAGAGAAACAACTAGATATTGTAAAGGGAAGCGACTACATAATGTGACTGCCAGAAAGGGAAAGAATGACCATTTTTTAAGATATTACTCTGAAATTGGACACATGTTTACGACAACTCACCAGTAAAAGCACTACGACAGATGCATGTATAATCATTTATCAGCTGAACACAGTCCAGACTACCACGAGGGTTACAAGGATTAGAGAGGCATTCGTTGATATCTCCCTCGCATCGCTCGCCTGCAAAGCCCGGGAGACAAATGCAGCTGTAGCCCCCGATCTGGTCAATGCACTGCCCTCCGTTAAAGCAGCGGGGTACTCCTGAGTCCGAGACACAATCATCAACGTTCTCCTCACAGAAACGGCCTGTCAAGATGGTAAAAAGAAACAGTTTGAGGATATGGTGTCACGGTCTCATTTCCTACACTGCTCATCAAGTTCTAAGACCACGTCACATGCAGTCCCAGATATAAATAAGTAAAGATCCCAGCGTAACGCAATCCATACCCCGTGCTCAGAGCCAGCCTTGGAGCAGATCTAGGGAGCATGTGTTTTAGATCCAGGCTGTTCTCAATGGTAGGTCATACTGGTATTTAGCAGCTTCCCTGCTTAACTTAAATTAAGGGCATAATTAAAACCACAAAACCAATTTAGCCCTGTGACTGAATATAGCTGGAGAGCCCTGTGCTGCCCTTGCAAGGCTGCAAACCTCTCACCATTCATTTAACTTGGTGGTAACCCCGAAACTCAGCAAATAGCATTTGCAGCGACGTTAAAACAAGCGACAACAAATCAACAAGAAAAGCAACCGTGATGAAACACAGATCCCTGTCCAGCATGCCGTTCCTGCAGTCTGATTGCTGGGGTCCAACGGTAAACTCTCAACACCAGTTAGGGAGGGCAGTTTCTTCCTCTCCCTACAGGGTTTCCGTTCAAGAGACAATGTCGGGTACTGCTCCTGCCTTCACCCATGTAACAAGTCAACTGGGACAGAGCGGGTAAGCCGAGCAAGTAATTTTTCCTGTTAATAGAGTTGATTCATCTAGAGCATGTAAAGTCATTCACGTAAGCTTGGAGGATGCTTACACTGGCATCAGTAAGATACTAATTTCAAATCGGGCCAGGGACAAAAGCTAAGTCTTAATATTCTAAGGAATTGTAATAATCTTCTTTAATTCCTTCCATTTGCAAAAAAAAAGAAAAAAGAAGTCACATCCAAAAAGTAATTAATCTCAACAAATACAGACCAAAGAATTTAAAGCAATGCATTCAGAACCTCTCTTGAAGGAGGACAGGCTTCAGTACAACACAAATTCTGGCAACGTAGAAACTGGTAGATAAATACACACTTGGACGTAGAGACATAAGAAGCAACTTTTTTTAAAAAAAAAGAAAATTGGAGGAATGAATTAAGAATAATATATGAAAATTTGCTAATGTAATGATTTACAATTAAATTAACACTCATCTAGACTGAGGAGTTGTGCTGACAGCCACACTAAAGGGACTGAACTGGTAATGCACATAGGTAGGAAGCAAATATATTAATTATTTTATAGTTTTACTTAAAATTACTTTATGACCCAAGAATTTAGTTCTATCTGATACAAATCTGGAGATTTTGCTTGCACTGAGATGACACACTTCGGAAAGAAAAGGTTTAGAGGAATGTAAAATCTTGAACTGAAGTGAACTAAGGAAAGTCAAATGAGAAAGCATTCACCGATGGGTTAAAATGTACAATCCTGAATACTTTCAAAGGTAGGAGTCAGAACCATCAGGTCAGATATAGCAGGGAAATGGAAGGTTAGGTTTTAAGAAATATGATGTTAAACAGGCTGTGGAATCATACTCACTGAAAGCCATCATTATGCAATTGTGGATTTTTTTTTTTTTTTTAAAAAGAGCTTTTAATAAAACAGCTCAAATTTGCTGAAATAATTTAAGTTAGCCCACAGGCACTAAACTTCTTTTCCACAGAAGACTCCAAGACAGAGGACAATGCAGGGCCAAAATTTAAACAAGTAAAGGCTACTGGAAATTATGCAAGAATTAAGCGAGTTTTCCATATATTTCATAGCATCTTAGCCAAAAACCCCTTTGAATATATTAAAATAGACAGGGTTGGGAGAGACCTTAACAGTAATCTCACCCAGCCCCATTGCTAAAGATGGGTCATACATTCCAAAAGGGCACTGTCATGACCTATTCCTTTAAAAGAAGAAAAAAGAAAAAAAAAACCCCAGCATTTATTTTTAAAGGGAAAATATGTATCTCAAGGGATTAAGCGCACTTTGGGAACATTCTTCAAAGAAAATAATGCATTCCCTTTAGATTCTGCATCATGAAACCAGTAGCCAGAAAGGAAAATTCACTCTTGTAACATTCACTTAAAAGGCTGAGTCCATACCCCGAGTTCCTGGTGGACAGGAGCACTTGAAATGATTGACAAGGTCTATACACGTCCCTCCGTTCTGGCAGGGCTGAAACTGGCACTCATCCACTTCATATTCGCAGTTGACACCCTGGTATCCAGGCACGCACTACCAGTAGAAAAAGAAGTGTGAATAATCTTCTCCTAGCAGATACATTAGGAGACACGTGAGAAAGGCTAACGCAGACGAAACGAGCCCTCAGCAGGACAGATTACAACTGCTTTTGTAGCTATTCAACGGCAAGTGATTTCAAGGGCTGTGCAGCCAGCCAGCTTAAGCACACAACCTGACCGTGTGACTACTCAACAGCACGTCTGAATTTCGGTGACTTAATTCCTGCAAAATATAGCAATCATATCCTGATGCCTTTTAGCACCGAGACTGACTTGATCGTTCTAATTTAAGGTTTATATAAAACTCATCCTTCCTTCTGGGCACGAGCTTTCCATTCTGAAAAGCTTAAGGAGGTTGATTACACCATAATCTCATGGTCTACACTGCTCTCTGCATTTGCTATAGCAAACAAAGCAGTGGAAGGCATCTCCCATCCTAACTGTGCCCATCCAGTAGGGAGAATACAACATTTCTTTAATGCATTCTGCATATATTTTAATATAAACCACACTTTGGGGAAAAAAAAACAACTTCCAAGAAAAGAGTTCTGTCTCCAAAGAAGCCAGGAGTTCAAATACCCATCTACCCCACCTCCTCACAATTGCACCTCTAATGCACTCTTAAAAACCTCTTCGGAGCACTGCTTCTGCCACAGGTAAATTAAAAATTCCTTCCAGGTGCAGGTTGCTTTTATGCCCTGTTTGAAGCTATTCTACAACTTGCACGCGTTTCTGATTTCTTTTGACTCCTTGGCATTACAACACTCTAAATAGTTAGACCTCTCCCCACCAAGCCATGATGCGTTACCTCACACTGGTATCCAGCCAGGTGATCCCGGCAGGTAGCACCGTTCTGGCAAGGGCTGGAGTCGCACTCGTCCAGTTGCACCTCACAGTAACTGCCCGTGTAACCCACCTGGCACTGACAGTGGTGTGTGTTCCCAACATTAAGGCAGTGACCAGAGTGTTGGCACAGCTTGTCCACAGCAACTCCTGAAAAAGTTAAATGAAGTGAGCAGAGGTGCAAAACACACAGTGCTGGTAGCTCAGTCAGCAAAGACTACAGCTAGACTCAACAAACTGAAAAGCTCAAACTTAAAAATAAAGTTACAGTGGGTCAGAACCACAACGGGCTTCCAAATGAAGTCACTGCTCTGTTCCCTGTGGATCATTAGCATCGACACTGGCCTGAAGTGTTTGTATTGCTGTTATTTTATCACTGGCTGGTGAATACACGCCTGAAGTACTACTGCTGCAGTATAGAAGTTCAATGTTTCTACCTAGAATGTCTGCAAAGGGTATGGGAGCTTTGTCACTGAATCACCTCGTTTGGATTTCCTGGACTGAAAACAGCAGAATATTGTCTATCAGCCTGAGCTACAAGCCACCTTTCAGGAAGAAATTCACTTGCAAACCAAATCTTCTATACATATATCATGCGAACCAGGAAATTACTACTTTAGGGGCCATGGTATTACCTATACAGCTAAATAGTGCACTCAGTAGCCAGTATTCTCTGTGAAAACACAGAGATCGTGAATTACAAATTGCCTTTCTTGTACAAAGATGACAGGTCTTAAACCTGGCCTGCCCGGGATTCAGCAGAAAGGCACTAATAGCCAATGCATTTTCCAAAAAGGCAGTTTACATAAAACAGCACTACCAAAGACTTCATAAACCATTTAATTCTTCTTTTCTAATATTTTTATGGTAGAGGCTAGCTTTTTACGTCAGGGAGAATAAAGGGAGCCTTGGCTCCCAAGCACAACCTTGCAGAGGGGGTTTTAGCCTAGAAGCGATCGTGATCAACCACCTAGAGGCAAAGATCTCTGGGACTTCCAAAGCATGCTGTGTTCATAGGGATATGGGTAAACGAGGCGCAGCTTACTGATGCATGGGGAAACATTCTTGGTTAAAGCAGAGATGATGCTTATTTACCCCTTTGTGAAGCCGCCACTTGACACGAGACATTGGGCACATCGCAGTAAGCACCAGTCCAGCCAGACGGACAGACGCATCGAGTCTGGGCTCCACTCTGGACACACGTGCCTTTATTTTTACAGGGAGACTTGCTGCACAGATCCATAAGTGCCTGGAGAGAAACAAAACCAAACCAATATGAGTCATGGCAAGTGCAGGAAGAAAATGCTACTGGGAGCAAAAGCTCAAGAAGCAAAGAAAGGAAGCTCTGCACAACTGGTTTCATGGGGCACTGGAAAGAAACGGACAGTATTTTCCAAGTCAGGTGCTTCAGTAACACTCTCAAGAGCCCATATGCCTAGGAAAGCACAGATGTAGAGCGATGTAAACCCCAGACGGCAGCATCATTTCAAGAATAAGATGATCCTCACACTTAGCTATGCAGAGGGATCTTTGGCTGGCTGGGTTTGAAAAAAATCAGTTTTATCTTAGACTTGCCTTCTAGTTCCACATTAGTAGGAGGTTTCCAGCTATCAGCAGTCTCAGGTATCCTTTCTTCTCCCAAACTCCACGTATTTTTACCACTTTTTGCCAATGAGAGATGTGTTCCCCATTTTGATCATTCCTTTTCCTTTTTGTCATTAGCTCACCATACCTACTTTTGGCCCCATTCACCCTAGTATGTTTTTTCTGAATCCTCCTGTCTTCTGAGATTCAACTGAAACCCTGAAACTGCTTTATGAACTGAAGATGGGCTGAAGTAGACTGTTTTTCTTGATTTCTTATGCAAAAAAAGTTTCCAAAGAAAGAGACTAAAACTCAGTAAACCACCACATGAAAGCGGAGTGAGGACCCAACATAACTGTCTGACCTAATATAAACCAGCCACTAACCATCATTTCCTTCTTGAGCACTTAAGTCTTCAAAGAAATATAACTATCTGATTGATTTCAAGCTGACCTGAGGGAAGGATGAGGTTTTTAAAGCGCGTAGTACTGAATTTTGGCTGTAAATTGCAATTCCAGTTGCAGAAAGTTCTGCTTTTCAGATGCAAACTGTCTCCTCACAAAGATTAAAGCAGAAAAGTCTGTGCTTTCACAGCAACCAAAAAGAAACTTGGAATTAAGTTTTTATCACATGTAGTTGAGCGTGAAGAAGAAAAACACCAAGCCTCTTGCTTCTGCATTTGTAATGAGTAGGTGACTGTTTTACATGCAAATTCTATAACTTATGAATCATTGTCTGATTTTACACTGCTTATTTAGCTTTGCTAATTAGGTCAGGCCAGTTTACCACTAACACAAGAACTACAGTGCAGTTGTAACCTATAAATCTCTCCAAAACAGCTTTGAATAGTATTTAAAATTGTAGAAAGTTCTTATTTGTTGTATAAAATAAGTAATACCTTATGACCGAGCTTCTCAGAACATAAAGCAGACTTTCTGAGAATCCACAAATTTAATTTGGGAACAGGAACGTGAATCCTTCTCTCAAGTAAAAAACAAAGCAAACAGAAGAGGAACTACTGAACTTCACAGCACTTTTTACGATCACTCTCAATGCTAATTCTCCCAATGAGGTTTAAGTGGTGTGCCCAGAATGCCTAATTAGGGTAGCAGAGGGGTTGCTTTTTTATATCACTTCATTACTTTGCATTCACTTCCTCCATTAGCAATACCTAGAAGCAGATCTGACCATTTAATGTCTAGCAACATACTTCTGAAAAAGCACCTCCCCCACTGCCACTAAAATGCTGCTTCTAACGCCCACTGCTTTACAAAAGCACATTGGCACGAGAGAAAGTTCTTAAAAACCTGTAGTGTTCTCCTGTAGTTTAAGAAAATTTTTTTAAATGGCAGCACTCAGACTGCTTCTGAAGGAAGCCAAAATAGTGTTTACTGTTCTAAAGCCAGGAATAGTCTCAAGTCATCCTTGCTGTTTTGGTAAGCACAGAATAAAAAGAAAAAAATCTGATTTGAAAAATTAAATCGGCATCCCGTTTCCACTGCGATATGCCAAGTTCAAAGTTTTTAATAGGTACTAGTCAGTCAATGACAGTACACGTTTGCAGCTCCTGTGCTCAACGGTTGGAAACGGTAAATTGCCTGAACTTAAGTCTGAAAGTAAGGCTTGCAGTAAAGATTTTTACTGCTGTTGTGAACAGTACAATCATTCAGTTACTGCCCCAAAACATTTGCCGACTTTTTATGGGAAAAAAACCAACAAATCTCCAATCAACCCAATGACATCTCACTGTAAACAAAATAAACTAGTTAAATCAAGGTCCTACTAATCAAGACTGATACAGTGACTGTTGTTTTGTGCTTCCCATCAGGACAATTTAATGTTTCAAATGAAACGCAGCCATTTTCAAAGCTAACAGCTGGTTTTCATTTAATAAGAAAACTCATCTCGAAAGTTCTAAACATACCTATCCTTATAAAGAACGAAGCATTTTTCTCCTCCTTGCAAATACTCTGGATTTCCCAAGTTTTGAATCGGGGCACCCGCTGTGTCAGACAGCGCTGCACTTTTTTTTTCCCTAAGGAAACGGGCCAACCACCTCTTACCACAACTGAAGAAAAAACAGCTTTGCCACATTTGGGACCTCACATCCAAGCTGGTTCGGTTCTGCTGTTGGACAGTTCAAACACCAGCACCTTGCGCAAAGCAGGCAAAAGGAAAACGTCACCCACCTGACAGTTCTTCCCGGTATAACCCAAAGGACAGATACATCGGTATGTGCCCAGGCTGTCCACGCAGGAGCCTTTGTTCAGGCAAGGATGTGAATCGCACTCGTTGATTTCTGTGAGGCAGAAGGGTCCCGTGAACCCCACCGGGCACTGGCAAGTAAAGGAATTGATCCCATCCACGCAAGTACCTCCATTGAAACAGGAGCTGCAAGAGAGGGAGAGCAAAGGGAATCGGAGACAAAACACAATTAGCTCACGCAGAACGGAAATATCGCCAAAATTAGAGAGAAAAAACCAGGTTACAGGATCTCCTGACCACTGCTAAGTTCCTGCTAAAGAAGCACAAATCAGGTAACAGCAATCCAAGGGCACTCAGCTCACCCCCTCCAGGTCGCTGTTTTTACCTTGGCAGGTGAAGAAAGCAAAGCAAGGCTTCAATGAGTCATTAGTGATGCCGGTAACTTATTTAACGAAATCTTCCCAGCCTCAATGTGACCACAAATAGTATTGTGCCAGGCAGGCATGCGGCTTGCTCAAATTGATAAAATTTTACACAAATTTTATTACAAATTACAATTGTGCTGCAAATTATGAGAAGCAAAGCAATTCGCCTTTTTAATAAAAAAACAAAAAAACCCTAAACTTCAAAGGAATCACAGGTACATTTTCTCAAGGAAAAAGTTCATATAACATGCAAAACACAAGAATGTTCTTCATTGAAATTAGGTGAAAGTATTGGTATTGTTAAATCCTTTCCTCCTCTTCTCATGAGAACCTTAAGTCCTTGACATGCCCTGGCAGAATTCAGATCAAAGGAATTATCCCCTTCCCCCAATCTTCTGATCATAGGAAATTCTGCCAGATTAGGTGTCCTACAGAGAAGTGACTGGGAAAGTTAGGAGAAGTGATGCCTCATGCAAAGTTGACTCCTTTTTCCTTCTAAAGAAACGCCTGCCAGGAAAACTCCTGCTCCTCTGAAAATAACCCGAGATCAGACTCGAGATAATCAGCTCGATAAAGTGCACAGAACGAATTCACACTTGTTACCTGCTCTGTGCACGTCAAAGGGTACTTCCAAAAGAGAAGCCCCTGACTCTCATCCTTGAACTTCAGTGCAAGTTTTAAGTATCTAAATCCTGACTGTCTCCACAGTAGAGATGTCTGCCTATTTATCAGAGATGTTCCTCTGCCCTGTGGACCGAGTTCTGTTTTACAGAGAGCAGAAACTGCTGCTTACACTCGCGGCAAAACAAAGAGGACAGCGGAACTGTCAATCACTTCACATATTTCACTGAAATCAAGCACCCATCTCCAAAAGAAGACGGCACTCCCTCATAGGTGGCTTCTCACCCAAGACACGGAAGAATTATTTGAATCAAATTCAAATTAGCCAACCATCGCGGCGCTCTTAAGTACAGCTTAGTAATTTTGGTTGTGAAGGCGTGACTGGTTTAGCCTGGCAGAGCGTTGAAAATTGCTCGTCCTTCATTCATACCTGCAAAACTGGTTTCTATCCTGACTGATAACAAAAACAGGATGAACCTCAAGGAAGAACCAGGCACTCTGCTAAGGCTGCCAATATACTTGATTAAACAACTGTTGTGCAAAATAAACACACCCTCATCAGTGACACAATCCTGTTCTTAAGCAAAAGATGCTAAAATACTTCCTCCCCCACAAATGCAATTTTATAAAAGGTAAGAAATATCTTTTCTTTGTGTGCAGAAAATGCATGGGAATATCAAGAGCTTTGCATTTAGGAACCTGATGTGTTTCTGGTAACTAGACTAGAACAGACTATTTTTGTATTTGTTTTTTAACATTTCGATCTTTATTATAAACTGTTTTGAGAATCTGAAGTTACTTACATCAATCCCAAGAACGCTTAAAATATATATGCAGGCAGATGATGGATACTCAGGGTTAACTCTGAAAGAGCTTTTAAAACTACCAAGTGAATCATTTTTATAAGGACAAGCTGCTGAGCATTTTAACTCAGTTCCACACCTGTCCCTTTAGAAGAACCTCAAATTTTACCTCAACACTCCTAAGCCACATCCAATTTGGAAGCATTAAAAGATCTCTGACAATTAAAGCTTTCCAGTACAGAATTTGTAGACTTACCATTCCTCCTGGTTGCTTCTTCTTATTATTTGCTGACAATAACTCAGGACTAATTTATTTTTCCTGCCTAAGTCAGTCATCGCTTCTGTTTCTGCAGCTTTTGTATTTCTCAGCACAGCAACTATTCATAATTAATCAATTACTTTCTCCTGCTGATATGAGAATGGTCTTATAAAAATATAAAATATGTTTTAATAAGTTAGCATCTATTACTGTTTTAATATTTGTTAAACACTGTCATATTCCTCCTATAATAGACTGAGCCTGTAAGTAGCCATGTCAACTGAAGACCAACTCTGACAGGCAACCACCTTTCAGCTGGCGTCCTGCACAAGGCAAGTACGTTTCTCTTGCATGAATCCCAAGTTTGTCTTGGTGACAAAAAGGCAGGAAACCAGATCCTCATTGTTAAAAACTACTTCTGAGCTGGACTGAGGTCCAGGCACGAGCACACATTGCGTGGGTCGTCAGTGCAGCAAGGCTATCTCACCTCTCGGTGCACTCATCGATGTTGTTCTCGCAGTTGGTTCCCTCAAACCCAGGCTGACACTTGCACGTGTAGCTGTTGACGTAGTGGGTGCAGGTGCCTCCATTCCTGCACGGCTCACTCAGGCATTCATTGGTATCTGTTTGACATTTATCTCCATGAAATCCAGGTAGGCAGATGCATGAGAAAGAGTTTATGCCATCCACACACGAAGCTCCGTTCTGACAGGGATCTAAAACAGAAGCATTACCGTGAGGGTTAAAATGGGTAACAGTCAAAGGCCAGGCCAGGAGTAGTAGCTTTTAGGCAAAGAAAGTATCCCATGGCCCAGAGTGTGACAGAATACCCACACATTTTTCTGAGTCACTTTATGGAAGAGTTAATTGCAAAGCATTATCAATAACAAATACACAAAAGGTGTGGAACAAGACCAAGCTTCAGGGCCTCAAGTTTTCTCTGTTGGGATTTGTTCAACCCAAACCAACAAAACTAGACCCAAAGTCTCGGTTTAAAATTCAGCTTCTGCTTTTTTGACAAATGCCTGCTAATAAAGACAACACAAACAGCAGAGCAACTGTTTCCTCTTCCTGACCAAGCCTTATTCACAAGAGAAGTCAGCTTGTTCTTTCTTTTCCAGACAATGCTCAACACACGAGAGAACTTGTGTGCTCAATTTTAAGCATGAAAGCAGTCCAGTCAAATGAAATGCGTATCTGTGTGAGTGTATATATATATATATATACGAGCATTTACATGTTACTGAGCGCTTAGGATTTTTCCCAGTATAAAAGGCCAGTTGTGGAAAGGCTGGCAGAAAAGCTCACAAAGTCATACACTACCTTGGATTCTCCTGACCTCCACATGTGTTGGAATTTTCTTTATCCCTACCATGGTCTTGATACTTGTGTATCATCATTCTTTGGTCTAAGCCACCACCTACTACCATATTTCTTCTATTTCCACAAGTACCAATCTGCCTGAAATCTCTGCTGTTCAGTCATCTCTTCCTGTTTTGCTCCTTTCATTTTTGGATTTAAGACCCACATTCCTCCGTTGGATACTGCCTCTGAAGCCAGATTCCTTTTCTATTCTGCATTCCCTAGACCAAAAGCCTAGGTCACGGAGGGAAACTGGGAGGGGGGAGGAAAAGGGGAGACAGGAAGGGCGATGGAAAAAAAAGGTTACAGAGTACGGTCTTTTTTATTATGACTATCTTTAAGTACTACTAAAATACAAACTTGAAAGTGTAAATAGACTCCACCAAAAATCTGCAGTTCAAAATAAGTACAAGATCATTCTGTTCACTGGCAGATGAAGAAAACAGACGTGAAAGGTAATTAAAGCTCATTTATTGACTGAGAAATATGCTCACATGATAAAAATTTGTGTTGAGACACACACCTGCATCCATTTAAAGGTCATCTGACTACTGCAGAGAAAAAGCATATTCGAAATGAGACCCCTGACAGCTATAAACTGTTGTGTCTCTGGCAGTCAGCCACCTATGACTGAAGCCAAAAGCTGCGCATTAATTTTCTGTGCCACACATTTACTGACAGAAAAAGGAGACTCGAATATCAGCTTTTCAATCAGTTCTTGTCGTTGGAGGGTTTGTTTGCTTCACAGATTAAAGACACTTGGCTCAAGCCATGGAAGGTTTTTGTTATGCTAAATGAAATCAGCTGTAGCAGTAATCTAACATTCTTCAACCTCATGGGTGTGCTGCCTAACAGACACCAGGGGAGGAATCTCACAGCTCTCAGAACACTTAGGAATTAGAGAGAGATTTCCCAGCCGTTCAAGAGCGAAAGATGAAGACTTTAAAAACATTTTTATCTTCAGACACCCACATAAAAACTAACAGGACAAGCAATAATTTTGCTGGCTTCAGTAAGCTAAGCTCCGGGTCAATGCACCGTGACATTTTTTGTTCTGTACCTGTTTCTCAGAAAGAAGCAATCAAAAGCTCAGGCTGAGCCAGATGTCTTAGAAGTTCTTTCAGCAGCACTGCTTTGGGGTCTCCCACAGTAACTTTTGCTAATAGACTTGTTTGGTTCCTTCTCTACATCAGTCACAAATTTAAATTTTTTTCAATGCAAAACACAACTCTCTAAATTCAGACCTAAAGTCTTTAATGCTTTTAAGCTATTCTAATACAAAATAGAAGTTCGGGGTTCTTTGTGGGTTTTTTTTTAAGAGCCAGTCAACTAAAAAATGACAACATTGTGCAATCCTCCAAGGTTTGATAAAGCACTTTTCAAATAGTAACAGATGAACTTTTAAACACATGACGCTTCTCAGGAGACTCTGATTTCATCTGGTCATGATACAGATATTTGCCCAGCAAGAAAAAGAAGTCACTATGTATTTGGTTTCCCTTGTAAACAGCAGTGTCAAGGGCTTTCTTGTAGTTTAAACAGTTCCAGTACTCAGCAGTGTATGGGCTATCCTCCTGCAACTGATACCTAGCCAGAACCGAGGGCCGTCCTGCTACTTTAATTTGCTTTCAAATACAGATTAACTGGAAGAGCAACAGGACCCACTCTTTC